AATGGACATTATTATTATTGGTGTTTTAAAACCATATTTAATTGAAATTTAATGACAATATTTCACTGGTTTAAGAATATTTATTTGAATATTTAACTTTATATTTAAATAGGTAATTAATAAAGATTGAACATATTCAAAGATGAGTGGATATACATATGCACTGTGTAATAATTACCATTATCAAATTAACACATCTGTTGCTATCTGTGTCCTGCCTTAGACCCCCAGAGCAAGCTCATCTTGAAAGTTTGTATCCTCTGGCCAACATCTACCAATTTTCCTCACCCCGAGTATCATTATTCTGCTCTCAGCTTCTATGAGTTTAACACTTTTAGATTCCATATATACATCTATGATGGTACAGTATTCATCTTTCTGTGCCTGGTTTATTTCACTTAGCAAAATGTCTTCCAGGTTCATCCATGTTGTTGCAAATGGGAGGATTTCCCTTTTTTATGGCTGAATAATAGTTGATTATAATCATGTACCATGATTTCTTTATCTTCATCTATCATTGGACACAGGTTTTTTTTCTACAACTAGGCTATTGTAAATAATGTTGCAGTGAATATGGATGTACAAATATCTCTTTAAGGGTGCTTGCCTAACATGTGTAAGGCTCTGTGTTTGACCCCAGCACTGCAAACAAAACAGAAATCTCTTTGAGATACCAATTCCATCTTCTTTGGAAATACACCTAGAAGTGGAATTGGTGGATCATATGATAGTTCTGTTTTTAATTTTTTGTGGAGCCTCCATACTATTTTCCATAATGGTTGTGCCAATTTTATTACTGTTATTGAACAAAGAAGCCCTAAAGTGTGAACTAGGGAAAAGAACTTTAATAGTAAGTTACTCCTAACTTTTAAATTAAAAAATTCCAAGTGTATTAAATAGTGTTAGAAACACAGCTGGTGGTCTAGAAGTGTTTAATTTTCATCTGATCCTTTCCTTCCACTAGAAACACTGTTTTATTTGGGGCAACAATATCCATAGTTAAAAATATCTCTGTGGACATCCTGTAGCTGGGATAGCATGAGAGTCTGGGACTTCCTAGAAAGCTACAGTTTTTCTGGCAAGGAGCCATTCAGTGTCTTTTGCCCTTGCTTCCTGTCTGAAATCCAACCTTGATGCTGAAGGTGGAGCTGCCATCTTGCAGCTCTGACCACACCAGCTGTGCACAGACTGCAGAGTTGAGTAAGTCAAAAATCCTGGCAGAACACAGATAGCTCACTGCAGCAGCATAATAGTGGAGACCTCTTAAAAAGGCACTGTTTGAAAATGTGTAGTCAGTGTTAGGGGTACATGGTTAAGAGGTAGCATGAGTGTTTAAAAAAAAACAACATAAAGAAATAAATTAGCTATACCACATAGTCTAAGTGTGTAGTAAGTTATAACATTTAGTGCATAAGTGTACTCTATGATATTAGCACAGTAACAAATTCTAGTGATGCATTGCTCAGAACATATCCTGATTGTTAAGCCACACACGACAACCATTTTAAACCTCTGGTACTACTTGTCTACAAAATATGTATCTGAGTCATTACTACTCTGTTTCCTTATTAGATGAAGGTCAAATGTTCATTTCTTCTTGCCAACTGCACCTTGGATGAGTGTATTACTTTCAGATAATGTCTTAGATAAAATCTACTGAGGTCAATAAAGGTGGCTGGAGGGAAGGAAGGAACATTCTGTAGCAGGAGTTGAGTCACTACACCAGGTCAGGCTGATAAACCTTTTTATTGCTTTTGTGGCTGGGTGCAATATTACACACAGGGGGAGGCAGAGTTTACGACAGCAGCCTCAATCTGCTCCTGCCTGGGGAGCGGCAGGGCTGGGGTGAGTCATCTTCTTTCTGGCTTTATCTTCAGTGGTGTGGACTCTTCTCTGTTACCGACTGAGCTGCAGCAATTGCTCTTGCACCCAAGTGTTGGCACCTGCATTCCCTCTCTCTCTCTCACATATCGTAACTAGTTTTCTGCTGTGGCTCTTGTGCCCAGGTCTCTCTTCTGGTAATTGGGTCAGATACCTGGCCTAGAGCCCTGTCTTGCTTTTACCACTGTCCTGTCCCTGCCTTGGATGCTTCTATAGCCAAGACCCAGGGCTGGAGCCCAGCAATCTATAAACAAACCTCTCAGACACCATCTGCTTCCCTCATCTCCACAACAGTGCCTGCCCAGGCTCTCTGCTCTTGAGTCCTGCCCACCTGCTACCATGCCCCAGAACCTCTCCTCAGATGTCTGCCAATAAGCTCTTGACCCAAGTTCTCAATTGAAATTAAGGTATTCCTTGGCCCTTGCAATTTACACTTGTTTGACAACACAGCACTGTCAGTAACCTCTGGCACCAGACCCTTGCTCTAAGACTGACTCCTCAATGCCTGCAATATAATGAAGAAGATGGTGATGACTGAGGTAAAATAATCTTACTAAATGCTAACTATATGCCAGACATTGCATTAAGTACAGCACAGTCCTTGCCTTGCATGCAACAGCCCCAAAGAATAACGAACAGATCGTGAATATTATCTGCACTTCCTTACTTGTTATTCATTCTTCCACTCTTTCTGGCTTCTCTCCCTCCACTGAAAGTGTTTTAAATCTAGACCAATAATAACCTCCTAATCTGCAAACCCAACAGACACTTCTTCCTCCTCTTCTTACCTGAACTCTCTATGGCTTTTGAGGGAAATGGAGATTGAGTAGCCAGGGAAATCAAAAGAAAACTGAAGAAGGGTTGACATTTCAAAGATGCCACAAGCAAAGGGGGGTTTCATAAAGACAGAAGTGGTTTTAAAGCCCAAAGTCACAGAGCAAGTCCCTCAGTTCCTTCCTGTCTCCTAAATGTTGGCTACTTCAGGGCATTATTGTCCCTCCCTCATCTCTTCCTTCTCTATCATTCCTCCTAAGTGGTTGCTTCCGTTTCTGTCCTGCTGACACTTTGATTTTGGACTTCCATTCTCCAGAACTGAGACAATACATCTCTACCATTTTAAGCCATTCAACTTGTGGCCCATTGATGGAGCAGGTCCTCTGAGCACCCCTCCATCATCCTGCCTGAGCTAATCAACAAGCTACAACTGCAATCTCTTCTGTCTTGAGAATATTCTGCCTTCACCTTTCCTCTAGTTCAGGGGTTCTCAGGCTTTCAAATATTACAGACTAGTTAAAAAATAATTTAAAGATCAACATTAGATTTGCAACTTGTAATTTTTCCCTTAGTCTTTTGCTATAAGAGCATTAAAGAAAAACTATTATCTAAGCATTAAAGTCTCAGGATAAAAATATAGTTCTTTAAATGAAATGCTTTGAGTTTTATAAAAACATGCTGTTTTATTTCAACTTTCCCAGTTTTATTTCAGATCCATAAAAACTTTATGATAGAAACACTTAAGAGCTATGTATGCAACAGAAATATTAATACATAAATTTCATGGTCTCTTTCTTTGTTCCTAGACATTTTTCCCTCTCTTTCTATATCCTTTTGGGATAGATTATGAAATTAGGCTAAAAACCAGCAAGAGAATTTGGAGACTGGGGGCTGTAGCTTAATTGTACAGTGCATGCTAAATGTGCATGAGTCCTGGTTGGATCTAGTAATGCAATAGACAGGCAAAAAGAGAGAGGAGAAAGGAGTCAGAGAGAGGAAAAGGCAGGAGAGATTTAAGAAGCTGAATCCGGAAAAAATAGTATGAATTTCTTTCTTTCTTTTTTTTTAAGGTAGGGAAACTATTTCTCAAAAGAAAGCTTAGGTGGATGAGAGCCTAGAGAGGCAAGCTTAAGTTTGAGGATGGCATATGAGAAAAACTGAAACTGATAAAGGGGAAAAAGAATTTCAGGAAATTTGCTGTACATTGTGTGTGTGTGTGTTCCCTTCAGTACCTTCTTGAGAATTTGAGGTAGGGACTTAAATTGCTTTCAGTGTTTTCAACTGGACTCTTTTCATCTTTTAAATTTTATTGTGTAAATTTAAGATATACAACGTTACGGGATACGTTTAGATGGTAAAAGGTTATAGTGAAACAAATTAATACATCATGTCGCACTTAATCATTTGTGAGTGTCTATCACTTGTGTCTACTCATTTGGGATGAGTCCCATGTACAGTACAATTTTATTACCTAGTACACTGTGATATCACGTGGGACCAAATCACAAGACAGCGAGTGTATATTAAGGTTGTATATGACTGCTATCAGAGGCCTTAAGTACAATGGTTAGGACTGGGAGTCCTGTATTTGAATCCTGGCCTCAGTCCTTTTCTGTGTGCACCTGAGAGAACTTCCTTACTGCCCCGGCCTCATTTCCCCATTCACAAAAGAGAGTTGACGGTCCCCAAGTCACTGAACTGTTGGAAAGACTATGAATTAATATAGAAAGATAACTCATGACAGTGCTTGGCCATGGAAGCCCGTCAGCTGTTAGCTAGTAATAAAAAGGAAATGCACGCAAAATCTCTCACCTGCTGAAAACAAACAAACCAAGAAGAACATCTACTGTGGTTCGCTGTTCCTATACTTCTTGGCCTGGCAACCACAATTCTGACTTGGGCCCCTTGCGCAGGTTTTGCACTACTTTCCCTGCAGGGGGAGGCGTGGGAGGGTCCAGGCTACTTCCTACACTCTGGGTCAGCATCCTTTGCAAAGTCAGTCCTTCTCAGTCCTGGGGACCTTTCCTCGGATTGCAGAGGTGTGTGACCAGCACACGGGAGATGCTGAGTTAAAGTGGACGTAAAGGACATAGTTGTACCCTCTCCCCAAAATACCCAACCGGAGGCTCTGGGTAAGGAGAGTAGACTTGCTCGGTGGGAATTAACTGTCCATCCTAAAACGCGCTGCCACCGTTACCCGGCTGGCCACGTCCCCCGGCAGAAGCTCCAATGCCAGCGGCGCGGCCCGGGGGCGCCGCGGTCACGTGACGCCCCTCCCGCGCCCAGCTGGAAGCGAGCCCCGCCCTTCCCGGGAGCCGCGGCGCCCGAGCGCGCGCGGGGCATTGTGGGTAGAGGGGCGGGGGTTGGGAAGATGGCGGCTCCCAGCCTCCTTAACTGGAGGCGGGTTTCTTCCTTCACGGGGCCGGTCCCCCGCGCCCGGCACGGACACCGAGCTGTGGCCATCCGGGAGCTGATGATCATCTTTGGCGGGGGCAACGAGGGCATCGCGGACGAGCTGCACGTCTACAACACCGGTAAGCTCGGCGGCGGCTCGGCGGCCCCGCCTGCGGGACCGCGGAGAGGGGGAGGGGAGGCGACGCGGCGGCCGCGGCCCTGACAGCTGTCACCGCCCCGTCACTGCTCCCTCGGCCCGGCCGGCGGCGGCGGGGAGTGCGGCACAACCTGGCGGTCCCGGCCCGCAGCGTCCCGGAGGAGCGGGACGGACACCCGGCGCGAGGGCGCCCCAGGCCGGCGGCCCGGCCCCCCATCCCCGCCCCAGGCCTGCTGGCGGACCCAGGAGAGCGATGGTTTCCATCGTCCGGGCCTCGCTCGCCACGTCTGGGCCTGAGATCCCTCCACTGTCAAAAAGCAAGACCGCCCCAAGAATAGTCCTCCCGGCCTTCGCGGTCTTTACCTCCCTCCCTCCCGGGCTCACGGGGACCGGAATCTAGCAGCGTGCAGGAGAACCTGAGAGGCCTTTTGTACTTTAGTCCCAGCAGTCTCGGGGCTGCAGTAGCGGCCAAGATTCCCCCGTTGGAAGCCCTATAAACTGTCAGGGACGTGATCCCGGGATAAGGCCGGACTAGTCTCTGCACGGCCGGCGACCATGTCACGCTCTTGGGGACTGTCACAGCCTCAGCACCACTGCATATCCCAAATGCGGCTGGCCAGGGAGGCCCTGCCTTACCTCCTTAGAACCGCATTTTTCCCACTTGCAAATACTCCAGCCATTGGAAGAAATCTGTTTCCTTGGTGTAAGGTTGATTACTGAATTTTGGGTCTATTGCATGACTTTGCTTCGACCAAACATCTTAATCACAGCGGTCATTTAAAAGTTAACAAAACAGTGGACTAGGGAAAAATTTTCCCCCATTCCCTCACCCCAGCATATAAAATTATTTTATTTGGATTGGTGTAAATACCGTGGGCTTTAGAACAAACTAGACCTACTTTGCCTTGCTTTCCTGGCTGTCTAGCAAACCTTCTGAAAACTCAGATTTTCCACTTCTAAAATGGAGATGATACTGACCAGGGTTTTTGTAAGAATTTAATGATGCATTTCATGGTTTTTCAATGGCAGCACTGTTGTCATATTGGGCCAGATGATTCTTTGCTACAGGAGGCTCTCCTGTGTATAGTGAGATGATAGGCAGCATCTGTAATCCCAACTATTGCCCAGGCGGATCTTGAGTTCCTGGCCAGCCTGGGCAAAAGGTACCCAGACCCTATTTCAAAAACAAATTGTAAACCCGTGCGGTGGTTTCCATCAGCTACTCAGGAGACGGAGATCCTGAGGATTGTGGCTCACAGCCAGTCCCTGCAAAAAGTTAGAGAGAACCCATTCCCACCAATAAGCTGGGCTCAGTGGCTGCACCTGTTATCCAGCTACAGAGAGGCATAAATGGGAGAATGGTGGTTCAGGCTGGCTGGGGCAAGAAACAGGAGACCCTATCCAAAAAAAAAAATAACTAAAGAATGGCTGAAGCCATGGGGGCATGGCTGAAGTTGTAGAGTGCCTGCCTACAAAGCAGGAGGTCCTTTGTCCAAAAAGAAAGATGTTGGACAGCATCCATGGCTTCTACCCACTATTTGACGGTAGGATCTCTACTTCCAGTTGTGTCCAGTTGTGATAACTAAAAATGTTATCAGACGTTGTCAAATCAATATCCCTTGGGGAGGGGGAATCATCCCCAGTTGAGAACCACTGGAATACAGCTGATACATATAAAGTGCATACTCACAGAATGTGATGACTGTTATTCGTTATAATTGCTTTTAATTTTATTTTGCCAACTAGTTACAAACCAGTGGTTCCTACCAGCAGTTAGAGGAGACATCCCTCCAGGCTGTGCTGCACATGGATTTGTCTGTGATGGTACCAGAATATTAGTATTTGGGGGAATGGTTGAATATGGACGATACAGCAATGAGTTATATGAGTTACAAGTAAGTGTACTCAAATTTATCATTTCAATCTGAAGCTCTCATAACGAAATTGCTCATAATTCTTCAAAAGATTGTGAAATATTTCATTAGCCTGGGTAAAACTGCAGGAATGTCACATTTTCACATTTTTTATTGCTTCAAAGGAAATGTTTCCATTTCACTTAAAAGCCAAAGCTTCTAATGGTAAGTCTTTCCCAGTGTGACATTTGTAACATCAAGATACCTGTTATTTAGCATTACTTGTATATGTTACATGTTTAGATATTTGTATCTTGGTGCAGTAGTTCTTCAGCTTTAACCTGCAACAGAAGCACATGGAGGACTTGTGAAAATAGATTGCTGGGCTCTGCTCCCAAAGGTTTACAGTCAGTACTGTCTGGCAGTGGGGGCGGACTATGTGCTTTTCTACCAAGTTTCAGCTGATGCTGCTGGTTCCCAGACCATGCTTTGAAAACTACTACTTTAGTGTTACGGGAATGTTACCTTTCACAATAATAATTACTGTGAAAAGAGTAAAGAGGGGTTACAGTTTCACATAAACTTTCTAAATGTGGTTCTGTCATTAATTGTTCTTGACCTGTGCTATGTTCCCAGGGACTTGATCATGAGGATGTCTGCTGATTGGTAGATATCCAATCTGCCAATACATAGCCAGTTTATTTACAAACAAGCCATTTCAAAAATAGTTTCAGATAAAGAGAATAAATTTTGGAGTTTGGTTTGTTAAATGAGCTTTATGCTTACTTAAAGGTTAAACTATTCATTGTTCATAGATTACCTAATATCTGAAAGTAAGCATACATAAATTATATCTAGTTTTAAAGCTATATAATAAATACTTAAATTTAATTTGGAAAACATTAGAACTAGCAGTGTTTTATTATTATAAGCTTAGTGTATTATTATGGAAATCTGTGCATATAAAGTAGCCTGAATTTCTACTAGAACATGTATTTTAATTCCAAAAGTTAGCTGTTCACTTGCCATTTGTCCCCAAAGTAGCTTATTGCAGCTTTCTGACAGGATTAGATTAAAATGTGTTCTTAGGATGTTGCACTGTTGACAGAGTAGGAATACTTTCCTTATTTGTATGAGTGTATTTGTGTTCTTTTTTAGGCAAGTCGTTGGTTATGGAAGAAAGTGAAGCCCCAGCCCCCATCTTCTGGTTTACCTCCTTGTCCTCGGCTTGGACATAGTTTCTCTTTATATGGTAACAAATGCTATTTGTTTGGTGGTCTGGCAAATGAAAGTGAAGATTCAAACAATAATGTTCCCAGGTATGCTGACTCTGTTTTTAGATCAAATGCTTATTTTATAATTTAGACTAGGAACATTTGATTTCCTCCATCTTTAAGGAGGAAGCTTTTTGCATTTGAACATAATAATGAGCAAATTTTGTGTGTATTTGCATTTTCCTTAGTCCCTGGAGAATATCTGTTTTCAAACTTCTCTGATCAGAAGTCATCTTATTAAATTGGCATATCTGTTTTATATCAATATATTTTTATGTTTTGGGCTATAATGCATGTTAGCTAGGTCATAAGTGATAATGAAAATTAACAATGGTTATTTTAAAATTATTTTTCTCTGGAAATGTGGTACAAAAATATGAAAATCATCATTCTCATGTTTTACCCAAAAAGCTGTTAAAATGGTTTATACTACCACGTATTTTCCTCTTTTTTCCAAACAGTTAATTTTTCAGTGTATAAGTCTTGTTCTTTCTTATTTTGTTAAATTCTAAATTGTTTATTTTTTTTGATGACATTATAGTGGATTTGATTTCTTTCTTTCTTTTTTTTTTTGGTATTGGGGCTTGAACTCGGCTTATAGCTGAGTCACTTCACCAGCCCTTATTGTCATGTTATTTTTCAAAATAGTCTCAAGAATTATTTGCCCTGGCTGGCTTTGAACCATGAGCCTCCTGATCTCTGCTCCTGAGTAGCTAGGATTGCAGGCGTGAGCCACCGGTGCCAGGCGGGTTTGATTTTTTTAATTTCATTTTTGGAGTGTTCACTCATAGTGTATAGAACTACTATTGGCTTTGTGTATTGACTTTGTATGCTGTGGCCTAGCTGAATTCGTTTTTTCCTAATTATTTTGATGAATTTCAATTTTTCTTTTTATTATCAATCTGTAGGGGTTCTTTATATAAGGAAATAAAAAATACTTTTCATTCATATGTATCAAATACCTTTCTGGTGTTTACTTTTTTTTAAGGATTTTCATTTTTGTTTGACCAAGTATGACAATATTTTTTATAGCTTTCTGATTTTGTTTCTTACTTAAGAAGACTCTCCTTCCCCCCAAATTATAAAATATAATTTTTCTATAATTTCTTCTGGTACATTTACATTTTTGTTTTTTATGTTTAGTACACTACTACATTTGGAATATGTGTTTGTGGATAGTGTGAGGCTCTTTACTCTTTGTCCTAATCAATCTCTAATTCTTCCAATACCATTTATTAAATAAGTCACTTTTTCTGTTTACTTGAAGCTCCATCTCTGTCATATTTTAATTCTTATATAAAAGGATCTTTCTAGGATTTCTAGATCAGGGACTGCAAATTATACTTTATGGGCCAAATTGGCCTGTTGCCTATTTTTTTTTTTGGTGGGACTGAGGTTTTAACTCAGGATTTGGAGCTTGCAAAGCAGACACTCTATCACCTGAACCACACCTCTGGTCTATTTTGCTATGGTTATTTTGGAGACGGGATCTTGAGAACTATTTGGCTGTGGAGTGGCTCAAGTGGTAGAGCTCCTGTCCAGCAAGCATGAGGCCCTGACTTCAAACCCCAGTGCCACCAAAAAACAAAACAAAACAAACAAAGAAACTATTTGCCTGGGCTAGCCTTGATCTGAGATCTTTCCCATCTCAGCCCCTCAAGTAGCTAGGATTACAGGTGTGAAACACCAATGCAGCCACTTGTTGCCTATTTTTGTTAATAAAGTTTTATTGGAACACAGCCATATGCATTCATTTATTATATCATCTTTGGCTGCTTTTATGTTAAAACAGCAGAGTTACTCAGCACTATAAAAACAAAACAAAACAAAACCCCAAAACCCATCAGAGTTGAATAGTTGCAACAGACTTTATGGCCCTCGAAGGGTATAATATTTACTGTCTTGGCTTTTTAGATAGAAAGTTTGTTCATTGCCACTTTATTCTCTTTCATTAATAATATACTTACCTTTCTGTCATTAATTGTGTTTTGTATAGGTTTTTTGGAATATGCCTTTGATCACATTAAGAACTCACTCCCCCACCCTGCAGATCTAACACAGGGAAGGCATTGTGCAGGCTAGACAAGTGCTCTACCATTGAGCTACATCCCCATCCCTGATTAAGGACATTTTCTTAAATTTCCAGTTTACTGCTTAATTTTTTCTCTTTTTAAGCAGAACTACATATTAAGATAGTTTTAAATTCATTTGAATTTTGTTTCTCTCCTTTAATCCATGAGTTTTTAAAGTAATATTATTAAGTTCTGAAGTGTGAGCCACCTTTTTATTCCTAGTTAGACTTCACTTTGTATAAAACTGTTTTATACTTTACTCATTCACATTGCTAACATTTATTTATTTAAAGTATCTGCATTCATTAGTGATTCTGCATATACTGTTTTTATTTTGGCAAGTGAGTGTTACTTATTTTTATTGTGTGATTGGTCATTATCTTGGGTTTTAGGAATTCTTTACATTAAGAAAATTTGATCTTTTCCTGTGATGCGAACTAAATTTTTTTTTCAGTTTGTCTTCTTTGATATTGCATATGGTAGGTCCTTTTTTAAACAATTATCTGACTAAATGCTTTCATATACTAGGCTTTGCTTATTTTTTTCTTTCCTTTTTCCTGATTTATGGTTTTTCTCTGACCCTTTTCCTCTAGTGATTTAAAAATTATGACTATAAATTGCTTACTGGTTTCTTTGTACTACCATTTCTCTTATCCTGTGTATTTTTTCTTGGATTTTTTTCCTAGATAGTATTCTGAATCATTTTTTCCCCCAAAACAATTATATGGTTAAACTTTGAACGCGTGTGTCTTCTAAAATGTTTTACCTTTGCCCTCATACTTGAGTAAAAATTTACTAGGAAATATATCCTTACAAAAGTCATTTTGGAAGAAAATCATTTTGATGAAAACATCCATATCAGAGACAAGATTCTAAAATAAGGAAACTATATAGGATATTGCCGTGACATTATATAGGGGAAGAAGGTCTCAGAGCACCATTGTTGTATGTCTTATTTATCCATATATGAATATCCAGAGAAAGAAGTGTCTTAAAGGTATTGGCCAACATATTGTCAATAGTGATTGTTCTAGTTATCTAGTGCTGTGTAATAAATGGCCCTAAGACTTAGTGATACAAAATAATAATTATTTTATTATGATCATGAACTCTGTGAGTGAGGAATTCAGAAAGCACACAGAAGGGATGACTGGACTCCAAAATGGGAAAGCTTAAGTGGTTATTTCCAGGTCTGATGTCTTAGCCAAGGTGGCAGAAGGATGTATTTAATTGGGACTGTCACCCTGTATGCTTACATGTGGCCTCTTCAGGTGGTAGTTTGTGGTAGCAAGCTATCTTCCATGGTAGTTCAGGGTTCCAAAAGCATTGTTCTAGTGGGGCTGTATTGGCTTTCTATGATGAAGCCCCAGGAAGTCACTTGAGTGTCATTTCACCCACCCTATTATTCAAAGCAGTCACAAACCAGCCTAGAATCAAAGGAAGGGGACATGGGCCCTAACTCCTTATGGGAATAGTATCAGAGATTGGGAGCTGTGTTTTAAAGGCACCATAATTGTCATCAATAAGAGTGTTGGTAAATGATGACAGGATTTGTTTTATCTCTTCTATTCATAACTAAGCCCCAGAAGAGTTCCTGGCACGCAGTACAATTTGATAGACTTGTGTTGAATGAATGGTCTGGAGTTTTTGCACTAAAAGAAAATAAAAGCTATATATTATCTGACTGTTTTCTTTCCTGATATCCTAGATACTTAAATGATTTCTATGAGTTGGAGCTACAGCATGGGTCTGGTGTTGTAGGTTGGAGCATTCCAGTCACTAAAGGGATTGTGCCTTCTCCGAGAGAATCCCACACAGCTATTATATATTGTAAAAAAGATTCTGGAAGTCCTAAGATGTATGTTTTTGGTGGAATGTGTGGTGCTCGCCTAGATGACCTATGGCAGCTTGACCTAGGTAAGCGTAACTTGGTTCAGGCTCAGGTATTGGTTATGATTAACATGGGGAAATTTTTAAGTGTTTTGGAAATATTTTTGATTGCAGTATTTAGTGAGTTGCACTAAGATTATAGCTAGCTTTGTAGTCTCAGGGACAGCTGAGATGTGGCTAGTCTGGCTGAACAAATGAATATTTGATTTATGGTAATAACTCTCCTGGGTTCCCCTTAAGTAGAGTTGTCATAGCCATGATCTGTTCGGAGGGCGGAGTGGGGAGGATCCTGCCTTATGCTTATTGTCAGTAGTCCTCCCTTTCATGATGAAAAGTATCTGGTGGGATGATGATTTTATATGGTTTTATCTATAGGGAGTATAGCATTAGTAATTTCATTGTTAGTCCGTGAAAAATGCTAATGTAATACTTTCTAAAGAGATTTCTAAGAATGAATGATTGGAAGGTAGGTGTGCCTCTTACCTTTGACTATCTTCTACACAATGCAATCTTATTTTAAATGTTAAAATCACTGGTGGTGTTTTTAATTTAAAATTGGTGGTACTATAAGCATACCTCTCCATTACAAATGCTAAATTCAAGTGTAAATAAATTTCTGATTGGCAATTTATGACAGTTAGAAATAGTTATTTTAAGTTGAAATCTGAATAACTGTTTTAAAACATTTTTGTTTCTTTTTGTTTTGTTTTTTAGTATAGAAGTTGAGGACAGGGGATGTAGCTTAGTGGTAGAGCACTTGCTTAGCACATGTAAGGCCCTGGTTTCGATCCCCAGCACTGTAAAAAAAAAAAAAAATATATATATATATATATATATATATATAAAATTTGAGGAAATTTGGTATTATTAGATCAAATTGCTAATATATTTATTTTTACTTCTAGAAAGTATGTCATGGTCAAAGCCAGAAACTAAAGGAACAGTCCCACTTCCACGAAGCCTTCATACAGCCAGTGTTATTGGAAACAAGTATGGCATTTTTGCTTGTTTTTTTGCTTTTGCTTTAAAAAAAAAACAATTTAAGAAAGATGTACATAAAGAAAAGTAATGATTCTAGTTTTTGGAAATAGATTACTGAAGTTAACAATGTTTGTATGTACTGAGCTGAAATAATTTGTGTGTGAAATCTAACCTGTATGCTATTTTCTTATCACACTGTCTTTTGCACTTGTTTACCTTCCTCACAGTGCCTTGTGTAGAGTAAGCATTACCTGAGTGTAAGGCAGGGCCTTGTCAAGTTGATCATCCTGTTGGAAGGTTTGGCACACCTCCCTCAATGTTCTTTTGGCATGTTTTTGATATGGCTTGATTTGCACTCAGGTACACACTCTCCATGATTATACTTGGGTGGCAGTGTGGAGTTAGGGTTAGAATACAACTAACTGGATTGCCTGAATTCAAGTCTGAGATTTGGTATTTGTTCTGTACGATGGAGGAAAGGAAACTTAATGTATCTGTACCTCAGTTTCCTCAAGCATACAGTGGGGATTAAGGTTGTACCTACAAAGCTGTAATGAGGATTAAATGGATTCCTATATTTAAAAAGTGCTCATGCAGGAATAGACAGTGCCTGGTGCCTTTAGAGCACTCCATTAAAGGTTACCTTATTATGTGAAACTTGGCCATGGTTAGAAGTTGATTAAGTTGAACTTAATGAAGCATTTACTAGTATAAGGATTTTTACCTGAAATGCAGTGTTCTAGGAAACTACTGGTTGTAGTTTAGAACCTCACTAGTTCCTTTTGTTAAAACACAAACAAACAAGCTTAAAACAGAATAGTCTTTTCTTTAAAAAATAGTAGAGCCCCTTATAAAATGTAGTTTTCCATTGGAACCCAAATGTGTAAAATAGATTCAAACCCAAAGCTTCTTTGGCAGGCCACAGGTCCCATGGACCCTGAGCTCTGCCTGGTGAGCCATTTCTCTTTAGCAGAGATTAGGCTTGTCTCAGGAACTTCTAGGACCCTGAGGAATGTACAGTAAAGCCTTTTGTTTTTGAGATGGCTTTCATTGCGTTGCCCAGGTTGGCTTCTACCTCCTGGGCTCAAGGGATCCTCTTGTTTCAGCTTCCCGGGACAATAGGCATAAGCTACCACACCCAGCTTAAAGGTTTTTTAATTTAAAAATAGCAGTGACCAAGTTATGTGAAATTTAATCTTCTTTGATTATTCTGTGTATAAAGACTTTGGATGCCATAGAGCATTTAAGTATCCTACCTGAGGTCCCCTTACTATACATATACAATGTTGATTTTCACATGTAATATAATTAAAATATGCCCTATTTTATCTTAGTTGCCAGTGATAATTTTGATTCAGTACTGCTTTGTAAAATTCTAAACTTTTTTCCCTTTTTCTTTTTGAGCTAGGATCTCCCTATGTTGTCCAGGCTGATCTTGAACTCCTGTACTTAATTGATCCTCCTGCCTCAGCCTCCCAAGTATCTAGGACTACAGGTGCGCCCCACTGTCCTAGCTTAAAATTGTAAACTCTTGAAAGAAGGCCACTTTATTAATTTTCCTATCCCATTACCTTAATAGTGATAAATGAGTGAATAGTCCTAAAGCTTTGAGTCAACAAATACGTTTAACTTCATTCTTAGCATTTCAAATCCAAAAAGTGAAACTAAATCAGCTGCTTTATGTTCTTATTTTTTTGTTGTTGTTGTTCAGAATGTACATTTTTGGTGGATGGGTTCCACATAAGGGGGAAAATGTTGAGACTTCACCTCACGATTGTGAATGGAGATGTACTAGTTCATTTTCTTACCTAAATCTAGGTGAGTCTTTTAAGAGTTACTCATTGAGATAACATTAATAAAAGAGCTTTTCCTATTTTGTTAAAACAGTAGAGAAATCATGGATATTTCTGCCTGTTTAGATACAGTAGAGTGGACAACCTTAGTATCAGATTCCCAGGAAGATAAAAAAAATTCAAGGCCAAGACCAAGAGCTGGACACTGCGCTGTTGCAATTGGCACTCGATTATATTTTTGGAGTGGAAGAGATGGTTACAAAAAAGCACTGAATAGTCAAGTTTGCTGCAAGGATCTTTGGTATCTTGATACTGGTAGGTAAGAATACTTAATAAATAAAATTCTTCCTTTAAGAAATAATAATGTCTGTTTTTGTTAAGAATTTATGTAACTAACATTGCTTGTCATAGTTAGAGATGAATGGAAAACATAATACAGGTAGACCCTTTCCACTTCTGAGGAGTGTATTTCCCTTTCTTTGAATATAGTTGCATTTAGAGATTCCTTTCCAAAGAACAGAGTATGGAAGGGGAAAGCATTCACATTCCAGTGGAAAGACCTGGCAAGCACACCTTAATCAAGTGATAGAGGTTAATATCACTGGCAATGAGTCATATTGATACCATTTATTTCCCTAGTACTCCTATGACAAGAAAGTAGTTCACTTCTGTGGTGTTCTTTCCAAAAATCTTGTCACCCCAATGGAACCATAAGAAATACCAGACAAACCAAAATTGACCTGCTAGATATTCCATACAATATATCAACAATCCTCTTCTAAAGTTTCAAAGTGATTAAAAACAAGGAAGACTAAGAAATAATTGTAAATTGGAGGAGACTAAGGAGGCAAGATGGCTAAATGCAGAGTGGTATCCTGGACTGGGTCCTAGAACAAAAAAAGACATTAATTGAAAAACTCATAAAATCTCAGTACTCCGAAGCTTAGTTAATAGTATTACACTAATGGGAATTTCTTAATTTTAACAAATGTTAGCACATTTGTTGACACATTAGGGACAGGAGGGTATATGGCAACATTGTACTGTTTTGCAACTTTTCTGTAAATCTAAAACTAATAATGTTTTTTTAAAACAGCATTGGAGCACCAAGAATATTTTAAATGTAGAGCTCATGTCCATTTTCTCCCGTCCAAGTACTAACCAGGCCTGACCCTGCTTAGTTTCTGAGATGAGGCATGTTTAGGGGGTATGGCCGTGGAGCTGATATCCATTTTCTTTCCTTCTTTTTCCCTCATTCATTTTCAATAAATATTATTGATGGTTTTGTCATAAGAATTGCTCTAAATGCTGAGAATGTAGCAGTGAACAAGAGCAATAGTGTCTCTGATTTCAAAGAACTTACATTCTTTGCTCAGGTGATGAGCAATAATTACACAAATGAGTTAGATGAGCCCAGTCTCTGCCAAGCACGTGAAAACACGAAGTGGGAGGACAGAGAATGGGGCTGCTGCTGCCAGTTGAATTCATCTGTGGATGTGTTCCAGATTGTGTAAAGGAGGTGTCTGGGGAGGAGGCTGGGGACCACTGCAGAGAGAGTGAACAGCAAGTACAGAGTCCCTGAGATGAGAGCACTTAGCATATTTGGGAGTCACGTAAACAAAGACAAGAGTGTAGGTATGGTGGTTAGAGAGGTGGCATGGTCAGATCCTAGAAAACTGCAAACATCACAGTAGACTGTAAATTTTTAAATTTATTTATTTCATTATTTTAATACTGGACTTGAACCCAGGGCCTCATGCATGCTTTGAATTGTTTCATTTTTGTTTATTTTTTAATTTCTTCTTGGTACTGGGGTTTGAACTCAGGGCCTCATGCTTGCTAGGCAGGTGCTCTACCGTTAGAGCCACTCTGCCAGCCCTTTTTTGTGTTGGGTAATTTTGAGATAGATCTCACTTTCATTTTGCCGAGACTGGCCTTGAACTATAATCCTCCTGATCTCTGCCTCCTGAGTAGCTAGGATTATAGTCATGGGCCACCAGCACCCAGTTGTTTTGTTTTGGTTTTTTGAGTCATGGTCTCACTATGTAGCCCAGACTGGTCTCAAACTCTCAATCATCCTGCCTCAGCCTCCTGAGTGCTAGGATTGCAGGCATGAACTATCACGCTAAGCTTTTGAATTATTTTAAGTACAATAGTAAGTTGTATGTAAGTTTGAAGAAGAGATGCTATATGATCTAATTTATACTTTGGAATCACCACTGGCAGTTGTATGGAAAATAAATTGTAATGGGGCAAAAGTGTACACAGGGAGACAAGTTAACGGGCACTTGGTGTAGTCAAAGAACTGTCTTAGACTACAGCAGTGACAAAGGAGAACAAGTGGAATGGGTCAGTTCAGGATATATTTTGAAGTTCTTGTTGACAGAATTGGCAGATGACAAAAAGAGAAAAATGGAGGATGAAGTTTTTAGAATGTGATGGGGAAAACAGCCTTGTGCAGAAAGTAAGTGGTCCATTTAGACCATGCTAAATTTAAAATGAAATTAAGTAGGCAATGAAATGAATAAACAAATCTGGGAGCCAGTAGAGAAATTAGATCCAGGGATGTGACGTATGTTGTTATTAAGAAACGGAGACCTGAAACTCCATTTTTTAAAGTGTATAAATAGAAAATGTAGAAGATTATACACTAAGGTATTATCCGAGAACTGAGATTATATGCTTTTTTCAAAATTTCTCTTTCTTTTCCTTATCTGTATTTTCTACACATAAGCATGGACTGCTTTTGTAATGTAAACAGTTTAGGATTACAATGACGGTCTGGAAGTAATTCCTGTGTTTAAAAAAAAAGAAAGATAGTTGAAAAAATAATGAAACAACTAAGTTAGAGATTAAATGCTTTCAGTGGAAGAAACACATACTAGCAAGCAAGAGAGAAATACGAAAAATACAACTTAGTGATCCATCTTTGAAACTGGACATTATTAACTGAAATCTAAGCTTCCCTCTAAAATTTGGATGAAAAAATGTATACACATGGATTTTTCTCTTTAGTAATATATCACTTTAAGGAGATTCTTCAAGCAATCAGTGACTTTAAAAGATTAAAAGCCATTGGATCTGAATGAGTAGCTTTTCCATAAAACTTTTCCTAAAAGGCTTTAGGTACCAATGGTCATCTAAAAGTACAGGGGATGGGGGCTGGGCACAGTAGTACACACCTGTGCTTCCAGGTACTCAAGGAGAACTGCAGTCACAGGCTGGCTCTGGGCAAAATAAGAACTTGAGACACTATATGAAAAATAAAAAAGCAAAAGGCGGGGGCATGGCTTAGTGGTAGAGCACCTGCCTAGCACGTGCAAGGCCCTGAGTTCAAATCCCAGTACCACCAAAAATAAATAAACAAAAGTAATCATGACCAGTATCATAAAGGAAAAGTTTTGATTTTACTTTTCCTTTTTATTGGGGATTGGCGGAAGGGTAACTGGAGGTGGAACCCAAGATTTTGGGCCTAGGCAAATGCTCTACATCTGAACTATGTCCCATCTCCTAGCTCTTTTTTATTTGTTTGTGTTTTGGTAGGAGTGGGGTTTGAACTCAAGGCCCCATGCTTTGGTTATTTTGGAAATGGGGTCTTGCAAAGTATTTGCCTGGGCTGGCCTTAAACTATGACCCTCTCAGTCTCAGTCTCCCAAATAGCTAGGATTACAGGTGACCGGCACCAGCCCTTCATGATTTTATTTTGACACAGGGTCTTGTCAAATTGCTCAGGCTGGCCTTGAACTTGGTATCCTCCTGCCTCAGCCTCCCCAGTGCTGGGTTTACAGGCATGTACCACTGTGCCAAACTTTGCTTTTTTCTTTTGATAAGTTAGCATGCTTTTTTTCAGTGAACAGGGACTCATTAGTCTTTTTTCACTCATAGTTAGAATCTGCATTTGGTAATATTCAAATGAGTAATAGAATTCTATAAGGCGTTTCATGAAAACCATTTCCCCCCATTTCCCTTGCTTTACAAGCATCTATTCAGCTTTGTTAAATGATTCTTCCAGAATTCACTTCCGTATCCCTATTATGTACATATATTGTTACTTTGATTTTTTTTTCACTGTAGGCATAATATGCCTACTGTCTAGTATGGAAGTTAGAATTTATCCCTTCTCCCCACCATTCCTAACTTCTCTTTCTATGCACCTTCCTATCTCCCATCCTCTCAATATGATTGCACCATAATTTTGTTAGAAGAGTATTCAGTGTTTACATTATGACTGTGTAAACACTATTTACAGTTGAGCCTTCCTTTCACAATTTTTTATTCGCCATGGACTGTCAGGTTTTTGTTTTGTTTTAGATTTGTATGCATTTACCACTAATTCATTCCATACTCCCTTGTGTAAATCTTCTCTCATTATGGTTAGATGTATTCGATATTGTATCATCTCCAAGACAGCTCTCCTGCCCTGTATAAATTGAACAAAGCTCTCACGCTGGAGTCTCCATTGCCGTTCTGGGGCTATCTTTTGCCTCACACCTATGCTGCGTTCCCTATTTCCTAGGTCTTGTGTTTTTCCTTTTCTGAGTTTATTTCCTCTTTTTTGTGAACCATCCCAGGAAAAGAGTACCTTGTTGACACTTATTTTTTTGAGATCTTGTATTTGTTGTTGTTCTGGTGGTACTGGCCCCAGTTCTCAGGGCTTCACGCTTGCTAGGCTTGCTAGTCAGGTGCTCTATCACTTAAGCTACTCCACCATCTCTGTTTTGTTTTGGGTTTTTTGAGATAGAGTCTCTTGAACTATTTGCCCTGGGCTGGCTTTGTACCACAATCCTCCTGATCTCTGCCTCATGAGTAGCTAGGATCATAGCCGTGAGCTATCAGCGTTTGGCTGAGATCTTGTGTTATTTAAAAATGTGTTCAGTCTTCCTTCCCATTTAATTGGCAGTTTGGGTACAAATAAGGAAATCCTTATTTTTTAGAATTTTTAAAGTGTTATTCTGTTGTTTCAAGCTTTTACTGTTTTGTTTTGAGAAGTTCCAACCACTTCACATACTTCTTTTTAATGTGATCCTTTTTTGTCCTGCTCTCTCTGGAAGCTTTTGGGATTTTTTTCCCCTCTGTTCCACTGTTTTTGAATTTCATGATGCTCTTGTATGTCTTTTTTTTCTTTTTGAGACAAAATCTCTGTATGTACCCCAGGCTGACCTTGAACTCTCCTTCTGCCTCAACCTCCCTGACTGCTGGGATTATAAGAGACCACCACCATGCCTGGCTTGTGTGTCTATTTTTAATCCATTGTGCTGCGTACTCAGTAGGTTCTTCTACTCATGTTCTTTAGTTCTGGGGAATTTTCTTTACATATGATTTCCACCTTTTTGTTTTTTCCATTCTTTCTTCATGTAACTTCTGTTATGTGGTGGTGTACATCCTGGACTTGTCTTAATGTTTGCTTTTGTTATGGGTAGAATTACATAAATAAATTGTGTTTTTAATAGGACCACAGAAGACTTTATATAGGAATAGTTGAAAGATCTAGGTTTAATTACCTCCATAACATGGCTGTCAGATTTTTTCTGTAAAGATCAGATGGTAAATACTTTAGAATCTATAGGCTTTATGGTCTGTGTTATGACTTACTCACCTTGTTTTGGGATTTTTTTGGTTTTGGTGGTACTGGGTCTTGAACTCAGAGCCTTGAACTTACTAGGCAGGCACTCTACCACTTGAGCCACTCTTCCACCCCCTTACTCACCTTGTTATAGCATAAAAGTAGCCATGAACAAAATGTGCACCAATTGAGGACATGTGTGTTTCAGCAAAATTTATTTACAAAATAGGCTTGAGCTGGATCTGGTCCATGGGTGGATGTTTGCTGACCCCACTCTAAAGTGGGATCATATTTAAATTGAGGTGGACAATAGTCTTGTTATCTGTAAGGCTGAGTTATAGGTTTATAGATTGCAACTCACCAGAATAATACATTGTCTTATGTAACTATCAAACATAGAATGTGCTGCCTCTGAATTGTGAAATTCCCTGACATGGTAAGTATACAAAGAAAAAGAAGACAAGGATATTATAGAAGGAGTCTCAGTCTCTTTTTTCCAGCTCCAAGACTCTATGAATGTTACTTGTTTTTGGAAATGTCAGTGATATTTTACATCAAGGTTACATGTTTTGAGTAGTGCAAGTCTTGAGAAGAGGATATTAGCTTCAGATAAGTTATGTTTTCCCAAAATATCATATTCAAGCCATCTTTTCTACCATTATCAGTATTTCTAGCATGTATATTTGTTGGCTGAAAATTATTTCATAAAACTAAAACAATTAGAACTTCTGTAGAAGGCAAAATATTGTAGTTATAACTAAATAATATTTGGTTACCTCCTTTCTAGGGTTAAACTTTTTTTTCTGAATCAGATAATTTAGGTAGTTTGGAACTGGATTGTTTCATTTCTAGATTTATTTGTATAAGGAACTAATAAAATCAGAACCTTAAATTATTTTTGTTCAACCTACTATAGTTATGTATATCTGAGTAAATTTTCCCTCTCTTGGCAAACAGATAAAATACTCATTGCTGATGTATCCAAAGCTCCAGTCCACACAAACTATGTAGGCAAATTATTGATACATTTGAAAGTTAACTGTTATAATATCAATATTGTTCTTTAGAGAAACCACCAGCCCCATCACAAGTACAGTTGATCAAAGCGACTACCAACTCTTTTCATGTCAAGTGGGATGAAGTGCCTACAGTGGAGGGCTATCTTTTGCAGCTGAATACAGACTTGCCTTACCAAGCTGCATCATCTGATCCTTCAGCAGCACCAAATATGTCAGGTAAAATAATAGTCATGTTTAGAGAATGTTTGCTTATACACTTTTTAAAAGTATACTGCAAGTCCGGGTGCAGTGACTCATGCCTATAATCCTACCTCAGGAGGCAGAGATTAGGAGGATCTCTGATTTGAGGCCAGCCCTAGCAAAAAGTTAGCAAGACCATCTCAACCAATGGGTGTAGAGGTACACGCTTGTCATCCCAGCTATGTGGGAAGCATAAATACAAGGACTGTGGTCCAGGCCAGCCCCAGCATAAATATGAAACCTTATTTCAAACACAACCAAAAACTAAAAGCGCTGGGAGCATAGTTCGAGTGGTAGAACACCCACCTAGCAAGCACAAGGCCCTGAGCTCAACCTCAGTACTGCTAAAGCAACACCAGAAAAATGACTGAGGGTGGTGTAGCTCAAGAAGTAGAGCGCTTGCTTATCATATGCAGAGACCTGGGTTCAGTCCTCAGCACCATCAAAAAATGTATATACTGCAGGAAAGTCTGTGATTAGGCTTGGTTTAAGAAATTTTAGTCGTAGGGGAGGAGGAATAAAGTAGAATGATGGAGGGGGTGAATTTAAGTAAGGTATGTTGTAACCACTTTTGTAAAAGACACAATGTACACCTACTACAGCAATAATACAATAAAAACAATTTAAAAATTTCATGATATGATGTTATATTCTGGCAGAACTCAGAGGCGTGGGATAGAATCTTTTTCTGCCGTTCATTTTCATGTACTTTAAAATTTACATTAAATAAGGTCAGGAGATGTCTTTAATTGGCTTTCAAAACATTTCACCTTTTTTCAAAAGTATTTTTAAACCGGCACTTGGAAAGTAAAAGTACATGTTGACCCAGTCAACTACTAAGCAAACTATTAGGAAAAGAAGTAAACTTTGATAAAGATACCGTTTTTAAATCTTTAATATGTAACTTTAAAGTACGTGTTCATACTGTATTTTACTGATGCTGATGAAGAACATGTCAAGTCTGAACTTTCTTGTTCATACAGGAGGCAGGATGGACCCTCACAGACAAGGCAGTAATAATGTCCTTCCTAACAGCGTAAGTTAAAACACTTATTGGTTTTATTCCCAATTTTTATTAAGGTTTTTAGCATATTACTCTAGAGCCAGGGTCCTCAACCCTAGCTGTACATCACATTAATCTGTGAAATGCCCAGGCAGCTTTGTTTTTAAAGCATGGCTGGGTTGTAGCTCAGTGGTAGATCACTTGTTTAGCATATGTGAGGCCCTGGGTTTGATCCCCAGCAACACACACACACACAAACACAAAGAAGAGAGATTTCACAGACCATTGTGACAATAGCCTAAATCGAGAATCCCTGGCCAAGAGAAGCCTATTTTATTACATATAGTGGCATAGACAATTCTGTTAGGACTCGCACTTACATGTCTATACTGTGATATTCTTGAATGTTACACACATTTATTTTGAATTTCTAAAAATACTTTAAAATACATATATATATATATAAGTATATTTTTTATTGTGTATTTGTTTACCAAGGAATATCAGTGGCTGAATTGAGTACCTCTGTGTGTGAGTTTATTTCTTCTTTTAAATGCTTTAAGCCTTTGTGGAAGCTAATGAGTAAGCTTATGAAGATTTGTTATTTTTTTAATTTTTTTTTTAATTTTTATTTTACTCATATGTGCATACAATGTTTGGGTCATTTCTCCCCCCTTCCCGCCTTCCCCTCCCTTACTCCTCACTAAGATTCGTTATTTTTGTCTGGAAAACTGCAGTCTATGTCAGAGACTATTCATGGAAGGTGGTGTGGGTATGGGCTCTGTGCATGACTCAGGTCCTAATATGCAGAAAATGTTATGGGTTATCAGGAAGGAGTACAGTATAGAGCTCCTACAGTTTGTGAGTACTAATCTACTTCTCTCCCCTCTTTTTTGTGGCTTTGTGTACTGGAATAGCACAGCTGGGCTCTTCTACTTCTTATCCAGGCTATCTTATGACAGCCCTCTGGTGTTTACCTGCACTCTGCACCTCTGCCTCCACAGAGCTGATGTCTTCCTGGGCCTTGTAGTACAGATGGTTCGCATGTCAGTGGCTGTCTACACACGTGCTTCACTTCTAGACTTTTCTGCTTTGTATCTTCCCTACTATTGTCTCTTCTCCCATTTCTAATTCCTTCTAAGGTCACACTTTCTTTCTGATTATTTGGCTTGTTTTTGTTTTTGGTGGGACTGGCGCTTCATGCTTGCAAAGCAGGAGCTCTACCACTTGAGCCACACCTCCAGTCCTCTTTTCTGGTTATTTAAATTGGTTTTTTTGAGGAATCTCTTAAAATACATGTATTTGACCTGCCAAATCTAACCAAAAATCTAATGATTTATTTCTTATTTCTTATTTTACATAAATCTAGTTAGATTGTCTGACTTTTAGGCAAAGAGTACATTAGAGACACTATAACATGGAGACTTGGGAATGAATTAAACCTAGGTTCACATTCTTAGCTCTGCGACTTACTGGCTACCTGACTGTAGGTGTACTATTTGAGTTCTCTGAGCTTCCTTTTCTTCATCTACAAAATGGATATTATCCAACGTACAGAATTCTTGTGGTGATAAAGTGAGACACAGAATCTATCAATATGTAGTGCAGGGCCTGGCACATAGTGGGCATATGGTTGTAGTTGTCATCATTACTTACCAGTAGTAGCACCATCACCACCAACCAAGGGCAAGTCCAGGACATTTGCAGACAATATCGCAGAGATACAGGAAGTGATAAGAGTTTATGAGGTGGAGTCATAAAAGTAATTAAAAACAGATAAGAAAAACCAAGATGTAATATTGGAATACTTGAATGAAGCCAGGTCAGTTTATTGTTCAGTGGACCAATTTGTATTGTTATAAATTACTGATTCCCATTGATATCTTGAGCTGTCAAATAGTTTGCATGTGTTCATCATAGTGTATTTAAGAAGGCAGGGAAAAATGTTATTAGGAAGATTCCCATCCAAAATGTTTAATGATAAAGAATACGTATTAGATCTTTATATGGAAAACTCAGGCATACCGAGTGACTAATTTATTCTTGAAGGTTCTATGTAACTGATAGTTTATATTTAGGAGTTATTAGATCTTTAGCCTGTATACTACTCAGTTGAAAAAATTTGACCAGAATGTTAAACTCATTAGCTTTCATGTTCTTTCCTGTGTTATAAAAGATTTACTGGTAATACTGACTACTTCTTAAAAATGTTTGATTTTTTTAAGCCAGGCATAGTGGTGCATGCCTGTAGTACTAGCTACTTGTGAGGCTGAGGCAGGAGATCACTTGAGTCCAGCAGTTTGAGGCCAGCCTAGACAACACAGTGAGAGATTCTGTCTCAAAAAATAAAAAGGTAGATTTTTTTTTTTCCTCAAAATACAACATTCCTTCCTAATCTCTTCAAAACTGTCTTTTGATGGTATGGTGGTGCACTACTTTAATCTAAGCACTTGGGTGGTGAAGGCAGGAGGATCATGCATTCAAGACCAGCGCGGGCCACATAACAAAACCCTGTCTCAAAAAAACAAAACAAAAAAACTGGTCTTTTGAGCATGGAGAATAAGAAAAGAAATTGTTTTCTTAAAACTATTGTAAGATTTAAAGGACAATTCTGTAGAAATTAAGAGTATAATTTTAAATGTCTTATATTTTGGTAAACTTACTTTAAAAAAGCATTTACTTGTAACTTATTTTGCTTGTTTTTTTTACATATGTTTCTATTTCATTGAACATTGCTTGCTACAATAAACTATTTTATCTCTTGTAGGTCAATGATACAGTAAACAGTGCAAAAACTGAACATACAGCCACGAAAGGAACATCAGTGAAAACCAAACCAGATTTCAAAGCGACAGATTCTAGTGCCATTTTACATTCATCTTTGGCATCTAATGCTTCCAATCATAATAGTTGTATGGTGGATATGCTAAGGAGAAATGAAGGTATAAAGATGACATTTTAAATAAAATTAAACCTTTATAGTGTTGGTAAGAAATTTTAGAGTCACGGAAAAAGTAAACATTATATAGCTGTGATCCATTTCTCCATATTGAAACTAGTTAGTGATGTAGGTACTTCCCCGAATAGTAATGACTGGTGTATAGAGCTTAAATGAGGAAAGTTCTTATATGACGTTTGAGGTTGGACATGTGTTCAGCATCACTATTCCTTTACTTATTTTGTTTTCTTAGCACTTTTATTTATTTTTATTATCATATTTTAATTGTATGGAGGGTTTCATTGTGATACTTTCATATGTGCATACAATGTACTTAAGTCAAATTTCCCCCCATTACTCTTTCTTATCCCATCCCCTCATTACTTTTTACAATTTTAATGGGTTTCATAATACTCAGTCAAAAGAACAATGCAGGAGGTATCACAATACCTGACTTCAAACTATATTACAAAGCAATAACAATACAAACAGCATGGTACTGGCACAAAAACAGACATGAAGACCAGTGAAACAGAATAGAGGACCCAGATATGAAGCCAAACAACTATAACCAACTTGTCTTTGACAAAGGAGCTAAAAATATACGATGGAGAAATAGCAGCCTCTTCAACAAAAACTGCTGGGAAAACTGGTTAGCAGTCTGCAAAAAACTGAAACTAGATCCATGTATATCACCCTATACCAAGATTAACTCAAAATGGATCAAGGATCTTAATATCAGACCCAAACTCTAAGTTGATACAGGAAAGAGTAGGAAATACTCTGGAGTTAGTAGGTATAGGTAAGAACTTTCTCAATGAAACCCCAGCAGCACAGCAACTAAGAGATAGCATAGATAAATGGGACCTCATAAAACTAAAAAGCTTCTGTTCATCAAAAGAAATGGTCTCTAAACTGAAGAGAACACCCACAGAGTGGGAGAAAATATTTGCCACTATACATCAGACAAAGGACTGATAACCAGAATATATAGGGAACTTAAAAAACTAAATTCTCCCAAAACTAATGAACCAATAAAGAAATGGGCAAGTGAACTAAACAGAACTTTCTCAAAAGAAGAAATTCAAATGGCCAAAAAACACATGAAAAAATGCTCACCATCTCTAGCAATAAAGGAAATGCAAATTAAAACCACACTAAGATTCCACCTCACCCCTGTTAGAATAGCCATCATTAGCAACACCACAACAACAGGTGTTGGCGAGGATGCGGGGAAAAAGGAACCCTCTTACACTGTTGGTGGGAATGTAAACTAGTACAACCACTCTGGAAAAAAATTTGGAGGCTACTTAAAAAGCTAACATTGATCTACCATTTGATCCAGCAATACCACTCTTGGGGATATACCCAAAAGACTGTGACACAGGTTACTCCAGAGGCACCTGCACACCCATGTTTATTGCGCACTATTCACAATAGCCAAGTTATGGAAACAGCCAAGATGCCCCACCACTGTCGAATGGATTAAGAAAATGTGGTATCATCTATACACAATGGAATTTTATGCAGCCATGAAGAAGAACGAAATGTTATCATTCGCTGGTAAATGGATGGAATTGGAGAACATCATTCTGAGTGAGGTTAGCCTGGCCCAAAAGACCAAAAATCGTATGTTCTCCCTCATATGTGGACATCAGATCAAGGGCAAACACAACAATGGGATTGGACTTTGAGCACATGATAAAAGCGAGAGCACACAAGGGAGGGGTGAGGATAGGTAAGACAACTAAAAAACTAGTTAGCATTAGTTGCCCTTAACGCAGAGAAACTAAAGCAGATACCTTAAAAGCAACTGAGGCCGATAGCAAAAGGGGACCAGGAACTAGAGAAAAGGTTAGATCAAAAAGAATTAACCTAGAAGGTAACACACACGCACAGGAAATCAATGTGAGTCAATGCCCTGTATAGCTATCCTTATCTCAACCAGCAAAAACCCTTGTTCCTTCCTATTATTGCTTATACTCTCTCTTCAACAAAATTAGAAATAAGGGCAAAATAGTTTCTGCTGGGTATTGAGGGGGTAGGGGGGAGAGGGAGGGGGCAGAGTGGGTGGTAAGGGAGGGGGTGGGGGCAGGGGGGAGAAATGACCCAAGCCTTGTATGCACATATGAATAATAAAATTAAAAAAAATTTTTTAAATAAAGAAAGAAAAAAGAAAATACAGAAAATACTGAACACACAAAAAAAATGGGTTTCATACATTTCTTGGCATTTTTAACTATCTTAAATTACTTATTTAGGGAGGTCTTTTGCCTATCTTGTTCACATCTGTTTTCCAAGCACTCAGATCTGTAAATATTTGTTTGGCAAGTAACTGGATTATCCTAAGAAAGATGGCTCAGTTATGACAACTGTTGATTAGCCATATATGAGACTATATATATATATATATGTATATTAATATATATATATATTAGCATGTATGAGACAACTTACTATTTTGTGATGCTCGTATTTGAATATTCTCATGCCATTTGAGATATATTAAGCATTGCCTCTGATTTCAATATCTGAAATTGTTTTATAAATCTCATTCTGATATATCCCTGATGTAGGAATATGTAACTTTATTTTTAGTTTGAAAAAATTATTATAGCTGGTATAAATCTCTTAATTCTTTTTTTGGCAGCACTGGGGTTTGAACTCAGGGTCTCATGCTTGCAAGGCAGGTGCTCTTACCACTTGAGCCATTCTGCAAGCCTTTTCTTAGTTCTTTAGGGATTCAAATTTAATAAGGTGAATATTGTTTCCATTTCTATTTTTCTTTATGAGTCCATTGTAGGTAAAAATATTCAAGGAAGATAATTTCCAATGATTTTTTTTATCATTGAATTACTTGTGGAAGAGGAGAGAGCTTTGTTTTATTGATTTTCCTGATAGGAGGAAATTGTTTGGTTTTTTTTATAAAAACTTGGTTTGGACTTCAATTTTTTTCCTACAGTGGTTTTTCTATATGCTTGTCTTACAAAGAGAGGTTTATGCTTTGAGAGCAGATACAAGCTTTGAGATTTCAGAATCTTAATGCACTAGAAATCCTAGGTTGTAAGGCAGTTTAAATAAGATTAATATTAGACAAGTGATAAAACCAGAGTGGTGATACATATCACAGACATTCATGTGTCATGGATTGACCACCTAGTCTCAGGTTAACAGGAGTTAGACTTTTTCTCTGCAGATTGAAGTAGCTGCCAAAGTGAAGAAGCAATATGATTTAGATTTTTTTTCTTTTTCTGAAAGGGTTCTGTAACCTCATCATCAGGAAGAAGCATAGTGGGAAATGATTAGAAACTTGCTATGTGTTCTTTTAGGACTCTAGGAGGTGCATAGAGACTAAAGCAGTAGGTAGGATGGAATAGAGAAAATACATAATTGAAGAGTCTTAGAAAGTTATATTTATTAAATTTGGCAACTGGTTGGTATGAGAAGTAAAAGCAAGTTGAATGTAACTCCCAGTTTTTTTAGTTGAACATCAGAATGGATGATACTGTTCTTTAAGATAAAAAGAATAGAAACAAGAACAGATTTGGGAAAAGGTTCACCTTTGAACTTACTGTCTTGGAGGCAGGTGAGGAACATACTGATGAAAATTTCTAATAGGCAGTTGGATACTTAGGTCAGAGGTCTGGGAGGCAATCCTCAGATGGAAATAAAATTCAGAAGTTAAATAACAGGGACCTTGTTTCCTTGTTCACTGCTAGATTCCCAGCAGCTGGTACAGTGCCTGATCATAAATATTTGAGAGGTGTTGTTTAAAGCAACAGGAAAAATATGCAAAGGATAAAAACAAAGGCAGCTTAGGAACATTAGAATATAAAGCGTCATTTGAAGAAGAAAACTTAACTGAAGATACTGAAAGTGGAGCCCTTAACAGATCAGGAGAAACTGCTGGGTTTTTTTTTGTTCCCCCTTTATAGCAGGCATTATAATTTGTGACTTTTGTATATGTGTGTGTGTGTGTGGTACTGGGATTTGAACTCAGGGCCTACACCTTGAGTCACTCCACCAGCCCTTTTTTGCGAGGGGCTTTTTCAAGATAGGGTCTCGTGGATCTATTTGCCTGGGCTGGCTTTGAACCGTGATCCTCCTCATGTCTGCCTCCTAAGTAGCTAGGATTACAGGTGTGATCCACCAGCGCCCAGCAGTTTGTGACTATTTATTTGTGTTTGTATGTCTTGTCTCTACCAGATGAGAGAATTCATGAGGCATAAACCCTGCCTGCTTTGCTTTACCATTATAGAAACAAGCATAATGTCTGATAGATATTGTGGAATGAAATGAGTAAGTTATAGAAAGAAATAGCTTCAAAAAGGAGCGTATAGGGATAGTGCCATGACTCAAGTGGTAGAGCACTTGCCTAGCAGAGGCCCTGCGTTCAATCCAGTAGTGGAAGAAAAAACAAAAAGAAGTATGTGATCAGTGTTATTAACATTGCAGAAAGGTGAAGTAAGTGAACATTGAGAAGTATCCTGTAGAACTCATTAACGTTTGTCAGAGCCATTTCCTTAGAGTAGTGTGTGCTGGAAACCAGATTTTGGAAAGGTCAGGGAAATAGAAACTGCTCTGAATTTGGGAGGGGGAGTAGTAACTGCAAAGCACTTACAGGTCAAGGAGGATGCATGTTTGTTTGAGAGATTTGATGTCGTTTATGGGCTGGTAAACAAAAACTGCTAGAGAAGAATCTGAAAGCCTTTAAGGAAGGATTAATGGGTGAAGGTCTCAAAACATGGGGGAACAAATGGGACCAAGAGAACAGGAAAATAGACTCAATTTCCTTAAAAGAATGGTCAGCTCAGCCTCTGAAATGGAAGAGAAGACAGGGAGGATGGGCACGACCATAAAACCATAATCTAGTTTGGGGCAGGCAAAGGCAGAAAATTGAGGGAATTTATGCCTGACAACTTGTATTTTTTTCCCCTGAAATGAGAGGCAATGCTGTTTGATCTATGACACAGTAGAGAAGAACGATTCAGTATTTAGAATGAAAGAGGGAGATGAGAAGTTGGACATCCATTATGATGGATATAATGCACTTTTTTTGTGACCATTTTATGCCTAATAGTTAATTCATACTAACTACTTGCAGTGCTCATGTTTTTGATTTTTAAAACTGAAAGTACCAAGAAGTACATGATAAAAAAAATAAGACAAATAATTCTCTCCAAGTATTGTACTAATAATTGATCTTCTCCCTTTAAATGTAGGTCCTCACACTTCAGCACATGTAGGTGCACTAAGTAGTTGCCTGGACTTAAGAACAGTAGTCCCTGAAACGTCAGTATCCAGTACTGTTTCCAGCACACAAACTATGGTAACCCAGCAGACCATTAAAACCGAATCATCCAGTACAAATGGGGCACTTGTTAAAGATGAAACTTCACTAACAGCATTCAGTACCAAATCTGAAGGTTTGAAATGTGTTTCACATACTGTATTTTGAACCATTTATGTATATAAAATCATCAGACTTAACTGTATTAGATGGGAATTGCATTTCATCTTGGATTGACTCATGTAAGCAGATAAGGCATTGCAATTAAAATATATGAAATATTCTTGCTGCTTTACGTAAGATATTTGGATTAGCACACACTGAGATGCAATCAGAATCTACCATCCTTGCCATGAATAAATTCAGCAAACTTTTTTCCTTAGAAAAGATGAGTTACAGACAGTTCTCTCAACTTGATTAATTTCTAATTTTGTAAATTACTTTTTTATTAGTATTTAATAGTTGTACAGGGGGTTTCATTGTGACATTTCCATATATGTATACACTATACCCTGGTTTGGTTCATCCCCTCCATTATGCGCCCTGTTCCTCCTCCCTCTTCTAAAAATAACTTCTACACATTTCAGTGTTCCATATTCATACATGTGTAGAAAGAACCTCAACCATATTCACCCTCCTTTACCCTCTTCTTTTATCTTCCCCCACCCCGCAATTATCCTCCCCTTAATATGACCTGTTTTGCATTCCTGTCCTTCATTGTTCAAGTGTCAATTCATTATTCAGTGGGGTTTTCCTTGGTATTTTACCTGTAAATATATTGTACGTTAATCGGACTAACCCCCTCTATTACTCTGCCTAACCCTTTTCTTCCTAACCTATATTATTCAACAGTTTTCAGTGTGTTTTGTACATAGATGTATTTCAGTATTATTCACGCTATCATTCTCTTCTTTCCCTCGTCCCCTATTTCTCCTCTAACAGTCCTTCTATTGGAAACATGTTCTGTATATATATATATATATGTATATATGACATTGCTTGTATTTGGATCTGTCTTCTACATATGAGAGAAGGCATATGTCTTTCTGAACCTGGGTTACTTCACTTAGCAAGATGTTCTCTAGTTCTATCCAGTTACCTGTGAACAACAAAATTTCATTGTTCTTTATGGCTGAATAATACTCCATAGTATATACACACACACATACATGCATATATACATACCACTTTTTCTTAATCCATTCATCAGTTGTAGGGCATCTGGGCTGTTTTCATAGCAATGACAGGGGTGTGCAAGTATCTCTATTATATCCTGATTTACATTCCTTTGGATATATGTCCAGAAGTGCTATTGCTGGATCATCTGGTAGTTCTATTTTTAGTTTTTTGAGGAACCTCCATACTGTTTTCCATAGTGGTTCTATTAATTTACATTCCCCCCAACAGTGTATGAAGGTTCCTTTTTCCCCCCTGCATCATTGCCAACATTTGTTGTTGTTTGTGTTCTTGATAATAGCTATTCTAACAGGAGTGAGGTGAAATCTTAATGTGATTTTCATTTGCATTTCCTTTATGGCCAGGGATGTTGAACATTTCTTCGTGTGTTTTTTGGCTATTTGTACTTCTTCCTTTAAAAATTTATTTTCAGTTCATTTGCCCACTTCTTCATTGGTTTATTGATTCTTTGGGAGTTTAGTTTTTTGAGCTCGCTGTATATTCTAGTTATTAATCTCATCAGATGTATAGCTGGCAAAGGTTTTCTCCCATTCTATGGGCTGCCTCTTCAGTTTGATGACCATTTCCTTTGTAGAGCAGAAGCTTTTTAGTTTCATGCAGTCCCATTTGTCTATATCTTAATCATTGAACTGTTGGAGTTCTAGTTGGGAAGTTATTGCCTATGCTAAATTCTTATCCTTTTACAATGGGAGTTATATTTCAACCTTGGTAAACATTCTCTGGAGTTCTACCTAGTAATCAAACTCTTATGAAAATGAACTTTGTGAATTAGCTTGAGTGGAAGGGTCCATCTTTCTAGTTACTGTGATTCTTCCTCTGGCTATTTTTTTCACAGAAATTTACCATCTTTACTATTTTTAAATGTAAAGTTCAGAAGTATTAAATACTTGTATATTTATAAATTGTTCTTTAACATGTCTAAGTGACTGTATAAGACTTAACTGATTAATTGTTTAATTTCCAGTTGATGAAACATGTGCTCTGCCTGCAACTAAGATCAGTCGTGTGGAGGTGAATGCTGTAGTAATGCCATTTTCTGTAAGTACGTGACCTAGTGATGATGCATGTTACACATGAATGTGGGCTTTTAAATGCTGAGAAACTTCTAAATTTCATAAAAATGGTTCTCAGGGTCTCCTTTAGTAATGAATTGATACAAAGTTAGAAATAAGTGGCTGAATGGAAAATGTTCAAAATACAATGTTTAGTGAAAAAGCCTGGTAATAGTACATATTCCATGGTCCCAATTTTGGTAAATAATATACATAATACATACATTCACACACTCAGATGCACAGTAAACTGTTAGATGTGGGGCTACAGATAATTTTTACTTTCTTTTTTTAATGCTTCCTATTTTTTCCTAGATTGAAATGTATTACTTTTATAAACAGAAATATGTGTATGTATACACATAAATAGGTGTATATATATATATATATATATATATATATATATATATATATATAAATACACATGTGTAAATTATACTAATGTTAAAAGATAGGATTTGTTATGGAACAGGAAAACTTGTCTGGCTCTACTTCTAGCTACTTAAAAGTACAACAAAGTATTCCAGTAGAGAGCTGACATACATGTAGGATAGTCAAATAATCTCTGACATTGGGTTGTTTTATGTAAGGCCAAAGGTGATATGCACCAAACTTAAAATGCTAGGGAAGTATTTGCTTCACAAATACAACAAAACTGTCCTAATTAAATATAAGGATAATACATACTATATATATTTTTGAGGTTTTTAAAAATGAGTCGTTTCAGTTTTATTGCTGAGCGAGTTTTTGTTTGACCTAATGCTTACCTTTTAGAATCTGAGAATTTTCCATAGTTTTAATTTTCTTTCACTTTTTTTTGATTTTGATCACCTATTTTCCAGAACATTAAGCCCTAGTGTTCTTAGACTCTTCTCAGGGAAGAAACTTTTTCCCTTGAATCTGTTTTGTGATGCATCAGCTAGAATTGTATTTGTTATTTCAGTTGGAGCCAGTTGTTTTATAAAAGTTGTTGAAGAGCGTTTTTACAACTTTAAAAAATGAAGACAAGTTTAAAACTATTCCTTTTTTTAATCTTAAAGATTCTTCTAGTTAGTTCACTTTGTCATGTGTGATAGCCTAAATAACAAAAAATGTGAATGATAAGCATGTACCTCTGCTGTTATATATTTAAGACAGAAGTAAATAACTGAAGTGCACATTTGTTTTGAGCTTCTGGAAACAGTGTCTCATTTATAAGAAGATGGCTTAAAAAGGTTAGTTCCAGGGATAAGTATAATTCACTTATCACTAAAAGTAGCTTAAGGTAGAGGAAGTTTATTTGTTTTTAAAGCAGGGTAAAAAATGTTAAACTGTTTAATCTACTCCTCTTTTTTAGTATATTCGAAGTATATTGAAATTGCATTTTAGTTTTGAACATTTTTTCTCCTTTTAGGTTTGGAGAATCACAGGTATTTCAAGTGCAAAAATCACTGAATTTCTGCTAGTTGTTTTTGAACCTAGAAAAAAGCCAGCTTGGAATGAATTTTTCTTTATTTGCTCTTTTGGAGCAAGTCGTACTATTTCACTCCAGGGATTACCTTTTCTGAGAGAGTCTCTGAAATGACAATGTTCTGTAAAACAGCTGGCATTTTAACATGTCACTGGTTGGAAAGCATGCTAACTCTAGCCAGGGTGATAGTACAGAGCTACTGACTTGGAGAATGCCTGTCACTCTCTGTGTTTGAATTGGCATCCCTTTTCACTGTCAGTTGATCTAATCTGTTAAGACTTTATTTACTTATGAACTATTAATGTTGTGGTGTTTACCCATATATCTACTTATAGATCACTGCATGGATTTATATAATCTTGAAATTTCTCAAATGCTCAATAAGAGTCTTCATAAATTTTTCTTTCTCTAAAATTAGAAAGAGACTCCTTCAAATCCAGTGACCACAGTGAAAGCAGGAGAACGACAGTGGTGTGATGTGGGAATTTTTAAAAATAATTCTGCTTTGGTGAGCCAGTTTTATTTGCTGCCAAAAGGGAAACAAAGCATTTCAAAGGTAACTATTGGTATATTTCTGCACTGTGAATGGTAAAGCTCTACAAATCGGGGTGTAGTGCAGAGGTAGAGCACTTGTTTGGCATGTGTTCAATCTGCAGCACTCCAAAAAAAAAAAAGTGTGAGTGGACTAGGAGCATGGCTTGATGTAAAACCCTAGTATAAAAGAAAATAAAATTAGGTGTGTTTTGAAACATAAGAGTAAGATTAACCCTGATTTAGGTCACTTGAATGAGTGAAATTGGGATGTGTCACAATTTATAGTTGAGTTCTGTATAATGGGCTGATGGAGAGGGCTCAAGTGGTAGTGTGCTGCCTAGCAAGCGTGAGGCCTTAAATTCAAACCCTAGTACCGCCAAATATTTCTCACTGAGAAATATTTTCATTCCTGATTTAAAAATTTAATAGTCCCTGTATGCTATTGAATCATTTCCTCTTGATTCTGAAGCCCCTTAAAAAGACGTGTGAGACATTAACCCTCTAATTGTGAAATAGATAACAGCTGTAAGGCATGTTGAACTAGTTTTTTTCTTAGATGGACAATGTCTGAGAGGGAATTGCCAAGGAAATGTATATGCATTTTGACTCTCCAGAAGATCTTCCCAAATGGAGAATACAAGCTGAGCACCTATAACCCCCAAATATGAAATCCAAGATGCTCCAGAATCCAAAACTTTTGAGTGTCAGCATGATGCCACATGTGGAAAATGCCACACCTGACTCAGTGTGATGAGTCACAGTGAAAATATTGCGTAACATTACCTTAGACTATGTGTACAAGATGTACATGAAATACAAGTAAATTTCATCTCCAAGATATCTCATTATGTGTATGGAAATATTCCAAACTCCCCAAAATCTGAAATCCAAACCACTTCTGCTCTGGTGCATTCAGATAAGGGATCCCCAACCTGTGTATCACTTATTAAAATCAGTTTCTCCGATACTGTATATTTGTTCCTCTTTTTCCAATTGTTCCTCTTTCTCCAATTTTTCCAATTTTGGAGAAATTGTTGATAAAAACAAATTCTGTTGAATAATTTGTTAGTATTATCCCTAATGAAATTTTTGCCCGTGGTTGGATGTTATATGTACATACATATCTATGTCTAAATGCCTGCTAGCTATCTGATTTTTCCCAAAAGAAAAAAGCATAAAATTTAGAGCCAGTAAACTTGGGTTTGGATCACTAGTTTTGCATTCAACAGTGCAAACTGGGGCAAGTCCCTTGCTTTCCCTGTCTGAGACTTAGTTTATCTACAAATGGAGGTGATGTGACGCCCCTGAAGCATGGGACACTGACCCTCCCTGTCTCACTGTGGTGTTAGGAGAGTCAGGGAGTGTAGGTGAAAAGCTGTAAACATTATGATCTTCCTACCCGGAGTGTGCTCTAAGTACTTAGTTTAGCATTCACTTAGCATTCTGAATATAAATTTTTTTTTTTAGCAATGAAATTTTTTTTTTTTTTTGGTGGTACTGGGGTTTTGAACTCAGGGCCTTATGATCGCAAGGCAGGCACTCTACCACTTGAGCCACTTCACCAGCCCCTGAATATAAATTTTTAACTGCTGTACATGACATGCTACCCACTCCTTCTCTGTCAAGGGTGTTGGTTCTGGGCAGACTAGTATTTTACAGTGAATCTGAGATTTCTGCCCCATGTTCAGTTCACATGGGGATGGAGTAGTTGTTAATTTCATTTATAGTGGTTGCTAATTTTTCCTACCTTTATGCCTTTCATATGCAGAATACCCTTACAGTTCTCATTTATGATCAGTGATTCTAAACTGGAAAAGGCACTTTGCCTCTAGAGAAGAATCTCCAATTTATGAGTTAGTTGGTTCTGCATTGGAGGGTTTATTCCTTATATGAGAAAGGGAAATACATAAATGTAAACTGGAACCTTAAATCATACTCATTCTTTAAAAGTTTGGTTTTTTTTTTTTTGGTTAGTGAAAATTAAATAATTAAAAAATTTAAATAGTAGCAAATTAGTTGTACCTTTCTCTGACTTTTGCATATGTTACATTTTAGGTAGGAAATGCAGATGTACCTGACTACAGTTTGCTTAAGAAACAAGATCTCATTCCAGGCATGGGATACAGATTCAGGGTTGCTGCAATCAATGGTTGTGGAATAGGCCCTTTCAGCAAAGTCAGTGAATTTAAAACTTGTATTCCTGGTTTTCCTGGTGCCCCTTCTGCAGTCAGAATTTCAAAGGTGAGCTGTCAGGTCAAGACCTGTTGGTGATTTAAATTATTTGAAGCTTCATAGATAAAATAAACTATATTTAGAAATTCTCAATAGCATCCGATGTAATGAGAGATGTCTAAAAGAGGTGGGTGAAAAGTTAAAGAATATTTTTTGCTAATTACTGATGGTATTTTTGAGCACCAAATTTCAAGCAGAATTACAGCATCTAAATCACAGAAAGAGCATAGCTACAACTTAATAAATGCTTGTTTTGTATTAAAAAAAAAGATGAGAAAGACCCAGTTAAAGCAGATTTAGAAATTAAAAAAAAAAAAATCAGAAAGGCAGGGAACTGTGTTGGCTTTGTCCTTATTGTTATGTAACCCTAAAATTCATGTTGGAGAATTTTAAGTTTTAGTAGAGCACATGAAATTGGATTGTACTTTAGCCTAAATCCTGCCTTTTCATAAGAAGGAAAAGGTATGCATTTAGGGAAGAAAAATCTCCTTTTGGGGGTATTACATGCAGACACTTAAGCCTCATTGTGTTTGTGAAAAGTGGGCATGAATGAAGCATTATAGATCCAATTAAGTAGGTTCTTAAAAATTAGCAATAAGTGATCTAACGCCTGATGTAATTACATTGTGAAAAGAAGCATTTTGTATTCTAAAGTTACATTTAACATACTAAGTGATGATAAAGAAAACCTGAGAACATTATCTGTTTCTCCCCCCTTTTCTAGAATGTTGAAGGCATCCACCTTTCCTGGGAGCCTCCAACTTCACCTTCTGGAAACATTTTGGAATATTCAGCCTACTTGGCTATCCGCACAGCACAGATACAAGATAATCCAAGCCAACTTGTTTTTATGAGGATTTATTGTGGTCTTAAGACATCTTGCATAGTGACTGCTGGACAACTCGCAAATGCACACATTGATTATACATCCAGGCCTGCTGTTGTGTTCAGGATATCGGCAAAGAATGAAAAGGGCTATGGACCAGCTACACAAGTTCGATGGCTTCAAGGTAACAATAAGAAAGCACCTTAAGTTGAATTGTTTTGTTTTTTGGTTTTTGTTTTTGTTTTTTTTTAACTAAAGCTATTGTGCTGGTGATTTATTTATTAGTAACTGGTTTCTGAAGATTTGTCATTTAAAAGAGTTTTCTCTGACTGTATTTAGCAGTTATGAATTTGAGTTTGTAAGTTGTTCCTAAAATGTATTTGCTCAATTCTAGATCCAAATAAAAATAGAAAAGAAGCAAAGACTCTCTGGAAATTAGTATATGGATTCTTCCTTACCCATATAGCTGTTTTACAAAGAAAAACAGTAAAATTGAGATAAAAGCTGCCCCAATATCTTTTATAAAGGCTATATAACTCAGTCATCCTGGAGTTATGGAGATGATTCTAGTAACTGGCTATTGTATTCTTTGCTGTTGTAAATGTTCTCTACCTTGTAAGCACCCCATCTTTGAGTACTCCCTGTAACTTTTCCTCTAGCAACTACTTTCTATTGGATAGTATTTGTGTTACTAATTTTAGTAGCCTTTTTATTCCTTTATTTATATTAGCACAAAGCTTAAGAAATTAAAAAAGAAAAAGGCAAGTTCAGAAAGTCTACTTTTGAATTTTTATTATTTTCCAAGAGTCATGGTAAGATACAAAAAGAATAATGGGTATTCTTGATTCATATCAGGCCAATATATTTGAATATATTCTTGGCTAAAGCACTTAATGTATCTGCCCCTTCATATCCTCATTAGTAGGCAAGGGAATGAAAGAATTAACCTTTAAGGTCTCTTTTAGCACTCAAAATTTGTTTTTTTCATCAGAAGTGGAGTATATATATATCCCTGACCTTTTTCATGTATCATGAGCTTCAATGGCTCTAACTTCGCTTTTGCTGAAATTAAAACCTTTATAATTGAAAATTCAAAATTAAGGTGTATGTCTTCCTATTGCAGAGAAGCACACAGGTTTTAAAATAATGTTTTGAACATTTGTAAGATTTTTGTAAATGCTCTAAGATGTTTTATTTTTGCATTTTTTTACCTTGAAATTATATAAACTTTTTACAATGGAAATATAAGCATTAGACAGAGAACTCAGGTTCCTTACAAGCTTAAGAATGCAGATTAGCATTATAAGCACTCTGCTCCAGGCAACTTGTTCTGAACTTTTAGGAATTTGTGGTTCTACTGCCTGTTCAAATCTGGATGAATACATACAGAGCAATAATTGCAAAAAAGGTATTTCAAACGGAGAGCTGCAGTAACTGCAAGGGTACAGTCTTCTTTTCTTATACCACCTGACCTCACGCCAGGTTAGCTTGACTGAGTAGCTGTGTCCTCAGACTTTGTATGATACTCCCAGCAAAGATGGATTTAACTATGTAGAATTGAATATATTGTGTGTTCCAGTTACTAATTTAAACTGTATAGAATATTTTAATATATAATTTTGTAAAGAACTGGGATTTTTTTGTACTACAGTATTTGTAATTAATGTATCTCACTAAGGTTCTCTTGAGGAAAAATGCAAACTGTTAGACACGAGATGAGGGGTTACCGAACTCTAAAGGTAAAATAAATGCACTACTATGGTACTGTTAAAATACCTTTTTTTTTGTGGCTATATGAATCCTTAATCTTTAAATGTGTACTTTACAAACAATGTTTACAAGGAGCTTCTCTGGTTTGTTCTCCAGCAACTCCCTTGGTAAGAACTTCATTCTGCATTTGTTTAACTCATATGCTTTGCTTTTGGCATATGCTTGCTTTTTGCACTAGTAGAATTTTAACTTACCTCATTATTATGTTTGTAATCATTTGTATAACTTCCACAGTGTGTGGTATAGGCTAAACAAATACTTAACCAAAGTTAAAATGAAAATAAACGGTAAGCAGTTTTGCACATGTTAAATGCTAGGGTTTGGTGTGTGTGTGTGCTTAGTTATAAAAAGAAGAATGGAAAATTACAGTAAGTGTATGTTACAAGCCCAATCATTTCAATGATTTACTTGCTTTATTAGAAAAATTCTGGCTTTTAACCTGTATTCTCTGCATTAACTAGTAATTTGCTTCTTGAAACAGTTTTCTTATGACAAGGAATAAGTTGATTTAAAGCAAAAAGTATTTGTATTTAAAGCAAAGAATATTTGTGAATGTGCACATTTATACCTATCAAGTATTTTAGTTTATTATGCTTAAATGTCTCTACTGTTCTAGATCAGGAGGTGTCTGTGAATCTGTGGCTCCAACATGAGTTTCTTCTTAGAAGAAGAAAGGGATTTGTTAAAATAATTAATTATTTTACCTTGAGAATTAACCAGACTTTGTTTTGTTAGAACTTGGCATTAGTGCAGTAAGCACGAGTCATGTTTATCTCTTTGTTAAGGGATTGGTAACTGAAAGGAATCCTTAAGAAATCTCTGTGATTTTGACACTAGCAGGTAGTAAGAGATCTTAGAGCTGTGTGTTCACTAGTAGACTGAATTGGGTAAATAAGAAAAAGAGTACATGTGGCTTCTTATGATTTGCACATTTTCTAAGTGAAGGTCCCTTTGTGTTAAGTGGGCTGAATCATGCAGATTCCTATCTTCCTTCTTCCCTCCCTCCCTGTCTTTCCCTTCCTTCCCCTTTTCTTTCCTTCCTTCCTTTCCTTCCTTCCTTCCTTCCCTCTCTCATACCTTTCCCTCCTTTCCCCCCTCTCTCCTTTCTTTCCTGCCTACCTCCTTTCCTCCCTTACTTAGTTCTTTGTGCTGGGGATTGAACCCTGCCTCGTGCATGCTAGGTAAGCGCTTTACCACTGAGCTATACACCCAGCCCTGGCAGATGTTTTTCATAAGAGGATTTAGATTGAGTTAAATTACTTTCTTTACTCTTCCCAGTTGGGTAAACAACTCAAATGTAACAAGTTTTTGTGTCATATTCTTCTTCCTGTGCTCTGAACTTTGGTTCACGTAAATACTAAAAGTATTCTTGATGTTGCATGCTCTTAGAATTATGTTTTCTAAAATATTTGGCTTTGTTTTAGTTTAGCAAACTGTTTGGCAATTTAACTAGGAGTACAGTACATATAAACTCACTTTTATTTGCATTTAAAAAATTGAAATAGTCTGATTGCATGTATGAGGCACCTCTGCCCCAAACCCAAGAAATACAATCAATCGCCTATAGGAAGGTGAAACTGTTGATTCATTGTTTCGAAGGCTTGTAGACTAGCAAAGATTCCTTCTGACTACAGATATGGTCTACTGTAACTAAACATTTTTATTTAAAAATTATAGCTCTTATAAAAACCATTTGTAACATTGGGTATGAAGAGATGATTAGGATTTGAAATTATTGTAGCCATCTGATCATTACTGAAGTAGACTGCAAACTAGACTTGGTCTTGACCATTGAAGGTGTAACTGTTGTGTTTTCTAAGATGGATTTTAGGCAGTTTTATGTATCATGTACCAATTATATATAAAATAAAGCACCTTTTTACCATAAACATTTACAGGTGTTATTTATTTTGAACAACATGAAAGAACAACAGTGGTGGCAGAATAAATCTTAGGAATGTTGTTTTATGTCACTCACTTGAGTTAATATAGGCATTCTCTAAGTTAACATGGACTGCGTCTAAAACTTAAGGGAATGGAATATGATCGGGTGTCATTTTCTCAGAAATATAAAGTCTATTTAATTCTTATTGTAGCTTAACTAATGAACTTGGAATTAAAGAAGGCCATTGGCCCCAAAAATAGGTCAAAATTTGTTTTCATCTCTTTTTTTGTCTTCTGTTTGCTCTTATTTTTTCCTTTTATGCTGTTTACCCTTTTTAGTTCACAGCAGCCAGGCTTCTGACCTAGTTCTCCATTGAAATGGTGCTAGCAAGAGTCAGGGCCAAACAGCCTCCCACTTCCCAAATCCAGGGAACTCCACACTTAATCCTGTCACTTAAGCACACCTCGGCACTTGGACATTTTTTCAATGTCTTTGATACCATGTTTGTCTCTCACACACCTCCTCCCATAGGAGGAAGCCTTTGCTGCCCTCCTTCACCTCCAGGTAGATTTCACTGCTACATTTGTGCTCCAGGGTCCTTTGCTAAGTCTTCTGTCCTAGCGGTTTAAAAGTCATGTGCCCTGATGGGTTATTTTGTCCCTCTTCCTTTGCAAGATGGTAGATCTTCAAGACAGAGTCTGGGTCTTTGTAGCTCTTCCCCCTTGGCCTTTAGCTGATACCTAAAGTTTTGACAGGTGAGTAAAGAAAATCTTCTCCTTTACACTTCTCCATTCTTCTGTTCTGGACTCTCAAGTTGGGGTCAAAATGTGAGGGAGGCTGTGAAGGGATCTGATGAGCTGCTGAAGGAACTTACAGGCTCTTCAGGCTCGTCTTACCCTACCCTGCTATTAGGTCCTAAGAGAAGTTCTGAGATAAATAAGAGATTTAATATAAAGGTATCTCCATCTCAAGAGGAGGTATTTGATCTGAAAAGATTAGCATTTAATGAGATCAACAGACATTGCTGGATTATGATTTTTAACACCAGATGATCAAAATGAGCTAAAAATCTGTCAAAAGTTAGTCTCTTGGGCTGGAGGTGTGGCTCAAGCAGTAGAGCACCTGCCTAGCAAATGTCCAGCCCTTAGTTCAAACCCCAATACTATAAAAATTAAAAAGAAAAGAAAAATTAGTCTCTTGCCTCCCACTAGAAAAATCTACCTATCTACTTAAGTACAGGGGACTGCTGGTAGAAGACGGGTTTAGAACTACGCTAGATTCTTGCCACCTCTGAGCTTGTGGGCCTATCTCCCTGCAAGCCTCCCAGTTACAGTTGGGAGTCCCTAGATTTACAGAGTCCTATAACTCCAGTCCTGTAACTCTGATTTTGGTCAAGCCTGGGAAATCAGACTACAACACTCCAGAACAGAAACAAATTCTGTCTGCTGAGTGAAGAAAGAAAACACTGTAAAACTCAGGGCACAAGCTTCCTTTTCAAAACAGATTTCCATCCCACTAACGTCAATTCACTTCTCTCTGTCCTCTGCACAGCTAAAATCAAGAAGGTGCTCACTCATGGGCTCCTCATCTCAGCAGGAATCCTCTGATACTGAGCACCAGGGTGTTCATTTTATATATCTTGCATAAATTGAATCGAGCAAGAGCCTGCTCCTCAAAGGTCATCAAATTCGAAGTCTGGCTACCATTTCTAACAGTACCTCAAAGTCAAATACAGGGCTGTGAAGCTTTCAGCCTTGGATAGAGGGTAGGAGGTCA